AAAAAGAAACAAATTTGGAAGAAGCAGAAAAAAGAATAGCGTGAAAGAAGACGAAACTTCGGCGGGGCCGTCCAAGGGAACCGAGTCACCATTACTCAACGCACCGCTTTTCTTCGAACGAGGATTTAAGCTACAACGTACGCATATGCGGCCGTTTACTTTTTCCAGGACTACTTCCGAACACTTTCTGTTTTCGAGGTTCAACAACAAAATAATGAACCTAACGGTTTGGGACCGAAAAAAATATAGAGAACGCCGTAAAATCAAAATTTTATCTTCCGCTTAAGTTTCCAAATAACGTGATGAGAAGTGTCGTGAAAATTACGATTTAATCAAGGAAGCAGGAGATACAAGTTGATTGATATGAAGAAAAAACAAGTGGTTTGAGGTTGCTCATCATTCTGAGCTTACTGTTTGAACTTCCCAAACTTTTAACTTGAAAAATTTCCGCCGAAACATTGGCTGACTAGACAAACTCAAAATATTTCTAGAAAAAAGCTCTCAAGCCAAAAACCTAAAATATCTACTCATCACGGCTCAAAGAGAAAGTCCTCTTTTTCCCGTTCTGACCTTTTTTGTTCACATAAAGGAGCACGACAATGGACTTGTTGGCTCTCGGATTAAAGTGGAAGATCGGAAAAGAAGAAGAAGAAAAATGGGGGTCTCGTCGTCGCATAAAATATAAAAACCTGGTTGAATTTGCTGAGAATGGAGTGTACGAAACCAATGTGATTTTTGCTATGAGAAAAAAAAAACAGACAGGGAAAGCTGCGTTTCAACATTCAGTTGTAACATAGTGTGGTCCGAAAGCTGAGAACATTTTTTTTTTGATTGACCAAACTTGAAAGAGAGAATAAAAAACCGAGAGTGTTTCTATGCTACTCACTCGCGGTTCTCACTCGATTGAAGAAGGTTTCAAGCGGTAACAAGGGACACCCTAAAATATAATTACCAAGGACTCGTAATGGAATAGCTCACGCTCAAAACGTACTCCAATAGCTTTTAAGACAACTTGAAACGAGTTAAGAGAAAACTCTGAAAGGAATCGTCCTGAAAATCAGTTCGGAAGCCTTTTTTTGAAATAAGAAATTGAAAAAGAACAACAAGAGAGTAAGAAAAAAAAAATTTGGAAGCGACATATTCTTGCTTGGTTACCGTTAATTTGGCTCGACAAGTCCAAGTCTTCTTGACGACAAAAAAACACTGCGTCATGTCTAGTTAGTTGGAGAAGCAAAGTACTAAAATCAGCTCTCACTATTTGGAGAATAGATCAAAATTTAAATAAAAAAATGAAGCACGACCGTATTTACTATATGAACTTCAAAAAGAAGAGATGGAACAAAGTCTGGGATTATATAGCTATCATTTCCCTTTAAAGGAGCAGGGATGAATATTCCGAAACAGACCGAGCCCGAAAAAAATTTCTTTTGACCAGATAATAAAAATTTTTTTGAAATATTAACTTAAAAGATAATTACTTTTTCAAGATTTCATAAATTTTTCATCCAGTTTTTCTTTCTTTTTCCTTATTCGATTTTTTTATTTAATTCACGGCTAGACACGTACCCTACAACTCATTTTTTTCAGTACAATCATGCTTTCAGCATCTTCTTGTACTTTTTTCCCATCGCTTGGCTGCCGCCAAATGACCCACCAAGGTGTCAGATTTCACGAAACGTCGGGAGGCACGCCATCAAGATTTCTGGCAGGCCTTAAGTCTTGGATTTTCCATAATTTTTCAAAAAACTTCATAGAGTTGACATAATTATTATTTATCGCTGATTTGAGAAAATATTTATAAACGCGTTTAGAAAAGAAGCTTGAAAAATTGAGATTTTCCTGTATTTCAAGTGTCTCTCGTCTCAAGATAACGTTTTAAGATGATAAAATCGAGGCTTATGTAAGATAGGAAATAATGTAAAACTACTTATTTGACGAGGTCCGATTGATCTTTTAAAAAAAAAGCTTGAGATGAACTTCATCTTACTCAATTTCCTTTTTCTTTATGAGAACCTCTGCAAGTTTGAAACGTCCTTTTAAGAAAGTTGTCATGAAAGCAGCAGAAAAAGACTAAGAAAATTTTTTTAAGTTGAACCTAAAACAAAAGGCAATGAAGTATGTAATGCACATGAAGGATGAAGATGTTAATTTCAAAAAACCCACAAAAAGGAATGCCGAAAAGCAACAGTTTTTTCCTTCTAATTTACTTCAAGGGATACAAAATAAAACAAAAAAAAAGTAGAGATTCTGGTGAAACAAAGTTGGACTGCAGGAGATTTCTTTACTGCGCCGGCGCCGCTTGCTGAGCCGGATGAGACGGCGAAACTTGGCGTCGCTTTTCCCTCAGCCGGTGTTCGGTTACAGAACATGTGCACTATGGCTCAGGAATTCCTCATTGGGTCACTCGACTTCTTGACTTTTTGTCCATGACGACCCTTCTTCCGAAAACTTGGCGTTTTTGGATTGTTCTATCAAAAGGAAGCGGTCTAAAATGAAGGCCGCTGCTGTAAACTTACCGTAGTTGCTAGGTAAAGTTGATTTACGCTGGTTCGAGATTTCAATAGGAATATCGAAATAAAAAAATGGGTTCAAAGCCTCTGTTTTGTTTTTCCTAAGAAAGTGTGAAAGGCAGCGGCGTTTTTTCAGGTTCTGAGCATGTTTATAGTCCACCGGGTCACAAGTTCAATCCTCATCGCGACTCTACCCTACCAATGGGTTTAAGAAATGTTTGCAGTAAAAAATCATGGCTCCAAAAGTCCTCAGCCGTCACTCACAAGGGCGTATGTTTCACTAGAGTCCGTCCACTGATTATCACTCATATCAGGATATATACACATTGTTGAAATTTTTATTGGCCTTTGATGCTAACAGGAACCTCTAACAAGCTCGAGAAAACAATAAATTGAGGGCACGATATTCAAAAAAAAACAAATAAAGTTGTACATGGAGGAAAAAAAGAAGCGGTCATCGAGGTCGCCATGAAACTATCTGGTGTGACGCATTTAGGGAAAAAAAATTTTTTGTGAGTTTCTTGTATGGCCCTACGTGAGCCCATAAACGTTGGAGGCGATTATATTCTCAGAAAAATGTATATTGTGTTCACATTTCCTGATTTTCCTGCTGTTCTGGAATGTTAGAGTTTTTGAGATGGATAGATAAATTTTTAAACTGGGCTTTCTCGATTAATGAAGAGAGGATTCTGTTGCGTCGCATTTTTGGTTTTTCTGCGTTTCTGTTTTTTGTGCGTCGTCCTGAAATTTCATGCAAGCGATTCTTCTTTTACTTTTTCCTTCTGACAATTTTGTTGAATATTTTAATTGGTGCATTCACAACTTACTCAAAAAAGGACTCCGAGCACCTTTAAGTCACGCTAAAACCGGAATAAAACAGAAAATGGAAAATGCTAAGTTTAAATTGGGCTGAAAAGGTCCCCAAGCACATTTCTGCAGATTTACGGCGAGCTCTCAAATTAGTCTCTTTTCTTTCCATTCCTTGTAAATTCATATTTAAAAAAATGTTATGAACTTTTTGCTTTATTTCTTGCGATCTTTTATTTTTCTCATCAAGCCATTTCTCTTCCTCCAAGTTTGAAGAAGCAATCCAGAGTCAATCACAAAAATTTGTGCGTCATTTGTGAACTAATAGTGAAAATTGGCGGTCGTTGTGATAACAAAGAGCGTCTACGACCTTTCGTGCAAAAGAAAAGGAAAATACAATTTCCCCTTTTTTTACTATCATCTCGCGTGCTACCGTTTGTGTGGCTTTCCGGGGGCAACCGAAAAACGATTTCGAAATCTTCGCCGATATGTTCCTTCAGCTATTTACAGGTTTGACCAAGTCTCTTTTTTTTTCAGAAGAAATAAAATTCTTTTCGAACTTCAAATCAAAATTTCTGGAGGGCTAAAGTTTATTCCAAGGTACTGTGCCGTTGAAAAGCTGGTCGAAACATTCCAATGCGTAGGCGTATTTCATGAAATAAATGCGGAATAATTATTCTTATAACTTACCAAAAAATGCAAGGAAGCGAACGCTCAATTTTAATTTTGAGGCTTTTTTAAAGTTGATCATGTTACAGGCAAAATTCAAAATAAATCAAAAGTTATTCATTATTTGGAGGGTTTTCGCTCGACTTCTTTTTGAATTTAAACTTTTTTGAGCGTTCGGGATGAAATACCGACCGTAAAATAAAAAAGAGCTTTCAAATTCTGTTCCCTAGTACTCTGATGTTATTTTCGTTCAGTCAACCTTTTTCGCGTTTGAAAATCTCACAACAGAAGATATTTTTAATACACCTTCTTGAAATTCCCAAATTGCATTTTCCCATGAAGATGATTCAGAAGAAAATGAGATTTTGCATCTACTATTACTCATCCGAAAATTACAAAGTCAAATGTCATTCTCTCGCGAATATCGTTTCAGAACCGTTGAGAAGAACGAAAATATTTGTCTTTAAGGCTTCAGACGAACAACAAGACGCAAACCATTCGCTTCATTAGATGGAATGATATTTAAAACCTAACTCTCGAAAACAGCCGCTTCTATAAAATGATTTCTCTTTGCGAAGAGGGATAACTGATTCAGCAACTTGCTTGTTTTATTCTTCTTTTACAATAGCAAATGCTAGGAAATCTTGAGCTCGTTCCAGCACATACTCGAATAAATCGAAACGGCTCCAAAACTTTCTGATATCTCAACCCTCTAAAACTCCCGAGAAATCCAGAAAAAATATTCAAAGTTTTGAAATGGCTTGTTTCGATGGGTCTTAGCGTTTTTTTCGACGTCAGATAGTTTCGAGATCTTTTTGTTTTTCTACTGATCCTCCAGAAAGTTTCCAGCCATTTAAAAATCATTCAGAATGCAAAGTGAGACTATAATTCTTGTGGAAGTTGGTGCTCCTATTAACCCATCAAACGAACATGAAGGCTAGTTGCTTGCTATTTTTCAAAAGAAAATCCTACTGTAACAGTGTTAAACGGGAAAGTTTTTCAGGGACAAGAGTGATGGATTGGCCGTATGTGCACCTCGAAGTGAGGCGTTTGAGCGTCGACGAGGAGCCGCAGCCGTTGCCGTCGGTTCCAACGGCCACCGCCCCGCTCAGCCTCTACCATACCCACTTTAACCACTTTCACATGGCCGCTCATCCCGAACAGCCTGAGAACGTCGGCCAGCAGCAGCAGCCTCCGCCGCCTGTCGTCCACTACGACGCCGGTATGTCATTTGTCTTTCTTCTTTTTTTTCTAGCAAAGATTAGCTCGCTGATGATAAAAAAGAGGTTCCACGTTGATTGCTTCTCGCAGGCGTTAAGGTCAAAACTTCGCGATCCTGAAGAATTTTCAGGCTCCTGAAATTTTCAGCCAGCACACTCAGCGAACATTTACACAAAAATAATCTAGAGATGCTTAAACCACTGTAAAGTTACCGTTTACTTCAAACTTTTCTATTAAGATTTTAACCGAGTGAATCGGCTTTTTTTATCAAATTTATACGTATTTTTTTCCGATATTAAAGCCAAAAGTTTTCGCAAGCTGAAACAAATGAATAAAAAAAAACAAAGAGCGGCAATGGTGAGAATGAGGAGACGCGCGAGACGATCACTTTTCGAAAGAACAGCAGAAAAAAATTTACCGTAAACACAAACTTTTGCTCTACAAAAAGACAGCAAAGAACAAACTTCTTGAAGTGAAGTGAGGTCAGATTTGATCTGTTTTGGTATACAGCCTTTGAAGCAGAAAAAAAACTGTGAACAGCTGGTCTTTTGTAATTTCAACCGCTCAGCGTCTTTATTCAAACACATCGTTAAAAATGTCTAGAAAGCTATTTTTATAGGAGAGTTTTCCGTGTTTTCTACATAAATTTATTACGGCTCCGGTGATTCTCACGGTTTATTCATTTCGAAATGTTTCTGCGCATTTATATGTGTAGAAAAAAATAGAAAAAGCTGAGTGTGAATAAAAAAATTTTCACTTTAAAAAAAATAGTGCCGGTGTTAAGAAAAAAACATTTTTTTATCAATTTTTATTTTTTTAAAGTTAACTTGCGAATTTTTTTAAAGGTTATTACGACGCCTATTACTCCGATCACACTGTTGAACCGAGATCCGCCCCTGGTCTCTTACTCGGTATGTTTCTCAGTTATAATTTAACAATATTTAGAACTATACGAATTCCCCTTGAAAATCAGAATTAGAACTATACGAATTTCCCTTGAAAACCATTTTTGATTCAAGTACCGTGGAGTATTAAATCTTGAGAATATTCGAAACGTTCAGGAAGTGACTATGGAGCTGTTTCCAAGAGACGGTTTCGAACTAACTTCACTGAAGCGCAGGCATTCTTTTTGGAGGAAGCCTTCCGAGAGTCGCACTATCCTGACCACAAAGCAAAGAAGGAAATGGCGGTTCATCTGAATCTTCCGGAAGACAGGATCACGGTGAGCTCTTTTGGCCTCACTGACTGATAAAACGTCTACAGGGATTACGTCAATTCAAAATTAATCAACAAACACTCAGTTTCGCGTATCAAAAAGATATATTTTTTTGACGAATTGATAGTCAATCCGTTTCGAATTTTTTTTGAACACCTGATGTTCGAGGAGCGCGCGAGTATGTATCATAAACTTATGTATAGTTTTATATTTGATGCGACTTTAGGAACTTTTGAAAAGAGCCAATCCGATAAGAGAAAAAGTTGCAAAAATATTTGCGCGAAGCTGCGAGGCGGCTTACTGTATATTGGCCAGATGTGAGGCCGAGAGCCGGCTCGCAGTTGCAATTTACGAGCCAAATGAGATGAACGGCCTCGGCGAGATCCGCTTGATCGGCCCCTTCCGATTCTCATTGATTGTAACTCATTTTTATGCAATTTGGAACTTTCTTTTGCAGGTCTGGTTCCAAAACCGTCGAGCAAAGTGGCGAAGAAAGGAATTGCGAGAAAAGGTGTGATTTTTGATGAAACCAAGCTGAAAGTACAGTAAAAGAAAATGTAGAAAGGAGGAATGGTATAAGAAGCTAATCACGATTGAACTTACAAATAACAAAAAAACAAAAACAAAAAACACTTTGAAAATTTTACAGCTACTCGAATTTCATAAATCTTTACCTTCGATTGAAAGTTTGGAACTTTTTAAAGATTAAAATCTTGGATGGAGAAAATTTCCACGCGATTCAAGTTGGAACGCGGTTTTTTTCCGTTAAATACATTGAACAACGCCAAAAGAAGTATTTGGGAACCTCCAAACCCCCGCTTGGTTTACCTTTTCTCAGTTTGGTGTTCAGCTTCAGGAAAGGGGTAACCGCTCTGGAAACTGTTCAACGAGTTTTTCTCCCGAGAACAACTACAGCTACTGCATACCGTCAGCTGAATCGATCATATCAACGTCCTCGCCGTTCGACCCCTCTACGGTAGCCCAGAACAATCCGTACTTGCTCATGCCCCACTCCGCTCATCAAGGGTGATCATTCGATTATTTGTACATTGATACAGTTTTGATATTTTCTTAGACGCTTCTTGTTTTAAAGAGGCACTTCCTTCTTATTTTTTTTGAGAGCAAAGAATTTAAAAAATTAACGATTTTTAAAACGATTAACTGTGGAAAAGCCCATCTTGCGCCCTTGAAATCTCAATAAAGACTTTTTCGATGCAATCGTAGCCATTTCTATTTCAATTTAAGAGAGTTTTTTTTCAAAAAATCAAAGCTCTAGCTGCAAATCATAGCAGTCCAGCATCTTAGCTTTGAATACTGTTTCGGAACAAGATATTACGTTTTTCCTTTGAAAAAAGTCGCGCCTTCCTCCGAGAGAAGTTTTTTGTTTGAATAATTTTATGGAAACGTTCCAGAACCGAAACTGAATACTTTTCTAGAGGTGAGAGTTTTATTACAACTTCTCCTTTCGGAGGACTGTCAAAATTGTTTCTCTTATGCATAAAACCTCGTCCATTCGCCAGCTTGTTACTTTGTTCTCTGTGTTACTCATTTTCTCCACCTTGACATAAATATTTGCCAAAGAGAAGAGCTCGCTTAAATGTCAGAAAACAGAACCATCCGTGCATAAATTTCCTCTCTAATTTGTTTCTTGATAGTTCCGTGTATAATGTCGCTGTATTAAAATGTCGAAAAACAAAACCACTCATGCATTAAAATTCGATGATTATGCAGAATCAGATGTCGTCTTTTCGTCATTCCAAATTTATGTTTATTAGGAAAATAACTTAGATATAAGGTTAGATTGGTCACTCACAATCTATCTGATATTCAAATGACACAGAGATCAATCAATACACAAAGTAAATGGGGAATTTCGTCAAATGGGATTTGGTCCGACCCGAACGGAGTTTAATCTCGTCTTCTTTTGCTTTTTGCTCTCTTACAAGCTGTCCGCTTGACGAATTGGTGGACCCGACACCGAAAAAATGCCCTCGCCGCTTTTTTGCTGCAAAAAAAAAATGTAGTTTGAATCGTAAGACACTGGAAATTAAACCTGAGTGAGCTTTTCCGCACTGTTATTGAGCGGAGTCGTTTCAGAAACAGCGTGCTTTCCATTTAATTCTTCCATCGGAACGCCGTTCTTTGGATGGGTGTTGCGATTTTCAGGCACATAGGTCCTCTCTGTTTCGTACCTTTGCCGGGGTCTGAGAAGTTCTGGTTATTGTTGTACTTTTTATTAAAGTTCTCCCGCTTGTCAGAAGCGTAAGCTTCAACTAAAATCAAATCAAGTTATTAAACGTCGGTGGCAAACGAACTATAAACTATAGTCTACGAATACTAAAGCCGAAAGAGAAGCAGACAAAAGAAAGCTATTATTATGCTTCGCTTCTTCTAGGTCCCTCCGCACATCATCAATGGAATAAAGGGCCAAAAACTCACTTGAAAAACTCGATGGGCACTTTGGAGAGTTGTCTCTTCACGGCGTTTTGGATTTCGCTGTTGAGGAAGCAATAGAGAACAGCGATGAAAATCCCCTAAAAATTATTATTTCTGCTCTGTTCATGGACATCCATCATCACGCCCTCAGGCGCGTAAATAGCGTGTTTAAAAAGGAAAAGAAAAAAAGAAGATAAAAATATTTTTTCCTCGGTTCGCTTCGAAAAAAGAATGATGTTACTTGAGAGTGTTGGAGGATCGCGGAACCGAGCATGTAAACGGCGCTCGGTTGCTCCGGCTCGTAGAAAAGAGGAATGTTGGAAATTCCTAGCAGAGGCACCAGCAGCAAAGTCGCCTTTATCGTTCGCCTGAAACAGGAATGACAATGAAAAAGATCATGATGTTTAAAATTATCTTCCGGGGTGATTTTATGACTATTTTTTTCCTTTCAAAGAATTTTTGAAAAAAACTGAGAATCTTTGGTATAGATCCATCAGAACTTTACTTAAGCTACAAGCTTTCAAAGCTTTCAAATTTTAGTATTTCTCGACTTTCGTGTCATCAGACTCCATTTTCCTTGCTTATTAAAATTTACAAAGTAATTGAAACATCTTTGCGCAATCTCCAAAAAAACATCATCCTAAAATTTTATGAAAAATAGAAACTCACCATATTTTTTTGGATTCTGCCGTTCCTCTTTCAGTTCTCAATTTTCTGACGAGAATTTCAACGATCGCTAATAAGAACACCAAATTCATCTAAAGATCTCGCTCATTTATCAGGAATTTGATGAATCAACTAACAATTAGCGCAAAGCCCATGGTACCGGCAAGAATCCACAAATCGCTGCCTTGAGCATACGGTACCCAGCAGAACGAATTCCGATTTCCACTCACTTTCGCTTGATGAACTACTGTCCAGCACATCACGACCACAAATGGAACTCCTTAATTCATACATTACGCCTTAATCATTCTGGAACACAACCCCATCCACAGAGCATGTAGAGGTACCAATTTGTGTCCCAATTTCGCATCGCATAAATCGTGAACCGACTGTAGAGGTAGGCGCCTTCGATCAGCATCCACATTACTGACGCGACCTGAAATTTCTATTTTTTGAAAAGAATTTATGAAAAAAAAATGGGACCTGGAAATATATGACGAACCAGAGTATCGTTTTGCAGATCCATTCCTGAAAAGTCATATAAACTCAGACGTTATTCAATAGTTATCCATTTCTTGTGGTCTCTATAAAAATTCTTGGCGAGGCTCTGAAGGGTAGCAGCTCTGAAGTGACTCTGAAAACTCACAAATTTCCAAAGAGGCTGAGGATGGAACTGGGTGCAGTCTTGAAACAAGTTGGTAGACTGAACTATCGTCCAAATCGCCAAAACGGCGAATCGAAACACGAATGCCGTTGCCAGACTCTTGTGGATTGACAGTCTTCGACACTGGAAACAAATTTCTTTTTTAACTATTCCATTCGCCACGAAGTTGATCTGTTCAGCCTTTTTTAACCTTATTCCTTATTTCAGTGATAGGAAATGACTTTGATTTTAAAAAAGTCTCGAAATTCGGAATACCTGTATTGAATCAAAAATGGAGAATAATATGATGGCGGCGACCAAAAGAGCCACGGACACTATGGAAAGTGTAAGAGATACTGAAATCACGACTTCTCGCAGAAAATCAGGGCACTGAAAAAATATCGTTTGAGAAGTCAACTCTCATTTGGAGTTACTTACAACTCTACAAAATCCCTGGATGCACTTTGAATACTGCTCTAAGACCGTTAAGCACATTGAATAGTCCGAGTCATCCCAGAGGCCGGTTCTGTTGCACGATCTTCCCACTTTGAAGCGGTCTGGAAATACCGAAAGTTTCTGATAAACTACTGATTTTTTTTGAAAACTCTCAATACAAGAAGTGATTTCGAATCTTGAGACATATTTTATGATTCACCAGGAAGAATAATGTTGTATTGCATTTTCCGAGAGTAAAAGTTTATGAAGGTTTGAAAGTGATCAAACTTTTTTTAGTTTTTTTGTTGAAGAAGAAAAAAATTTTTGAATTTTTGAATCTTGTGCAGCCAAGGTTCTTCAGTTTTTTTCTGTAAATAAGAAAGTTCACTGAAGCTTGAAGAAAATGGCGTTCTTCGTAGCTTAATAAGTGACCAAAATGTTAAAAATGTTTTTCCACTCCATTTTCTTGTTTATTGTCGTTGATTTTAAAATTATTTTTCGATAATTTTTGAGCGAATTCCGTTTTTTTGCTTCCTCAGCTTCCTTTTCTTCTTGAATGTTCAGCTTTCAAAGCTTCGAAAGCCCATTTCTTCTTTCAACATCCCCCAGACTCATAACGACTTCTGACCTAGCAGAACTCCGAAACAAAAAAATGACAAGATGAAGGAGAAAATTTTGAAGAACAATGAAGCTGCCGAGCCGCTTTCGCTCATTCTGAAAGCCTTTTCCCTGAAGGAAATTCCCGAGTATCTGCCTTTTGTTTAGAATAGAATTTTCCAGGTGAGAGTCCTCCAGCGCAGCCGAGCGCTGGATTATTGCGGTTCTCTCGCATTTTCGGTCTCGCCTTCAGCCTCGCAATCCGTTATAAGTGTTTCTTTGACAAATTATGTGTCGCTTGCACTTCGCGACAGAGACAAAACGGCAAAACGATCTTACGAGATCTGAAAATAAGCCCGACGTCGGCCGCTCCTTGGGGACTTCGGAAAATACTCGCCAAAAAATAGCCGTTTTACTGACAAGTGGCTGGGAGCGGAAGAAAAAATTAACCGCTTGGGGTGGCACAAGAAGCGAAAAATGGCAAGTCTCAAGAAGCAGTGGTGTTTTGGAATTTTTAAATTCAAAACACCCGTTTTGTGGTGAAGTTTGTAAAACAAAGCGAATCTTTATATTTTGCTGAGTATAGATGTCAGCTCAGTTTTGTTCGGTAAAGAATAAAAAAAGGTTAAATTTATTTACTCAAAAAGTTCAATTTATGTACTCCTCTTGTGAAATGTACATAGAACACCTTAAATAATCCAAATGTCAAAAAAATTGCCTATCAAGCCAAGTCATATCGTTTTTCGGTTGAAAAATTTCTCTCCACATAACATCTCTGGACGTAAAGATGAGCTTCTTGAGCTCGACCCAATTTTAATCAGATGCGAAACTGCTTGTTTCTTTTTTGAGCTTTCGAAGCTTTTTCAAGCGGATCACGCTTTTTAGGAAATCCGCTGGGGATTCGCGGCCAAAAGGCCGAAGCAAGAAAAAAAAATTATAAGACAAAACGGGAACATTCGGCTTGGAAGGCGAGAAAAAAATATATACAGCGCGACTAAACAATTCCTCCAGATCATTTTTTGACGCTTCTGGCAGAAAAAGCTTCCGGGTCGGTGCGTACTTCTGGCTACCCAATTAGACATTGCGTTTTTTTCGTTTATTAATTTTCGAATATTCTTGCCTGGCTTCCTGCTCAAGTTTTCCTTAACAGCTGTCTATCCAAAGAGGAACTTGAGATAATACTCAAGAAAAAGTGGAGTTTTTAAATAGCATCCGGTTATTGTAATGCCGAGTTCCGCGTTGAGAGCTTCGAACGTTTCCCTTCTCACTTTTTGGAACAGAAAAGTAACTTACAAGGGATTTGCTCACAGCCAGGAATCGAAGTGCAGTACGTGAAAGGGCAGTCCCTGGTGACGTGTTCTCCATAACTGGCTTTCATCCAACACAGAGACTTGTCGAAACTCACAGAACAACCTCTGCAAAAATTAAAGCTCAGCTATATGATGAGATTAAACACATCGGCTTTCATTTTTAAGTTCGCAAAATGCTGTTATTATAAAAATTGCTCATCGCATCTGCCAAAGCGTTTAATTTTAGTTCCACCATGGAGCTCATAAGGATATGGTCTGCTGAACATGAAATTTTTTTTCAAAGTTTTCCATTTTTTAACAAGTTTAACTTACTGATCGTTGTAGGATTGATTGGACAATCGCCATGACTCGCAAGTTGCAAATTCGGTACGAATAACCCCGGTCATTCGTTTTGAAGTCTATACTGAAAATGTAAATACTGAACCAAAGAGAACAGAAAAAAACCTAAAAACGAAAGCGGAATCGAAAAAAAAATGAAATAAATTAGAACATTGCATTTGAAAAACAAGAACAGATCGCAATTTTTCTAAGCGAGGAGTGAAAAAAATTGAAAATGCCACATTCAGATTAGCGATTATTCATTTAATGCTTTTCTCCATTTGTGAGAAGAAAGATTTTGCATGTTTAAATTTTCAAGGTTACGGAAATTTTAATTGAGTTGATGTCCTTCTTCAATAATCTCTGTCGATCATTATCGATCAATTAAATGTGTGAAGGGCGAATTCGCAAAATTTTTACCTAACAAGTAAGTCGAAAAAAAAACAAGCAGCGTTTCTTCTCGTATTCAGGCGTCAGACTCAGACACAACAGCTGGCGGAAGTTTGTGTGGGTGAGCATGAACGCAAAACGCAACATGTAAAATGATACGGTCTGTTGGAGTAACCCGTCTGAGAAACCGTTGTTCAAGTTTTGAGAAAAAAATTAGAAATTTCGCACTTTAGGTTGATATTTTTGGAAAAATTTAGAAAAGAAAGGTTTTTGCTCAAAAAGTTGAATCTAGTCCGGATTGCAAGGCTGGAACTTTTTTTGAACTCTGGAAAGTGTCTTCGAATAATTAACATTATTGGAAATTTGTCTCTTTTTTTCAGATAAGATTGCCACAGAAATTAAAGTTCACTGAAATTTGAAAAAAAGAAAAAAAATGTTGTTTAAACTGAGTCGAAAGTATCTAAGAACTTTTTTTAAACGCACTCTGGCATTTCAGTATTTCAGAGGTTTTTTCTCTGAATAAACTGGCGTCAGTTCACGGTGCCCCCGGAACAAATTGAATTACAAGAGGCGGGAAAATTTTAAAAAAGGAAGAGAAGCAAAGTGAAAGGCGTGAAAATGTGTGGTAAAGCAAGGAAAAAAAAACGGAACAAGTTGAAGTTACTCTCAGCTTCCCTATTTGCTCCGGCAGAAGCCAGAAGGTCAGCGGGTCGCAAGAGAAAGAGAATGTTTTGTGGTTTCACCGTAGGATTTGTTATGCCTTCCTCCTCCACTTTCCGCTCGCGGCGCAAGCACGCCCCAACGGAATATGGCACTCGCGGGGATTTCGTCTACCATTTGACATGTTCCTTGAAGAAACTCGAGTTTATCTTTCATGGCAAGTAAGTTAAGTAAGCTTTTCATCTTTGAGCACTTGATTCATACATTTGATACTTTTTGGAGATGTAAATATTTTTAAGAAAAAGATTTCATCGATTGAAAAGAGTTTGTTGACAAAACAGATGATTTTTTTAAAATGAGCAAGGAACTTTGTATGGATTTAAATCGAAAAAAATCTTACTTTTTAAAGTTTTTAACAAGCTTATCCAAACTTCAGAGAACGACCTCGCGAGTTTCAGTTTCTACGCAAATAAATCTGAAAAAGGCCTTAAAACTCACATTGATCAGGTACCGCTAGCTGAGGTTTTCAAATTTACCAAAAATTTCGAGAGTTTTTAAACTGCTTCGACCAGACAATTAACCGCCGTCTAGTAACAGCCAATCTGCGGGAAGGATAGTTCGTTCACACCAGCCTTCTGTGGGAGGAGCCTAAAAGGGGCGTGGTCTAAATTATCAGCTAAGCAATTTTTGCGCCGATATTTCAAAACATTTTCATTTCATTCACTGCTCAAACAGCCTTAGGAAGTTTCTAAGGTGAGACTCTTGGTTAAATAAAAAAGAGAAGTTTTTGACTTACTGATGACAGACAAAAGCATGGTACCAAAGAAGGAAAAAGATTAGGAAATCAGATCAAATGCAGTTTTCCGATTGTGAACGACAAGTGCTTCAAAGTTGAAATAGAAGAAAAATCGTGTAAAAAGTAAGGATTTTTGTTCATTTCAATCATTCATCAAATAGTTTGAAATAACAGCAAAATCGAGGGCAATTGACAAAAACAAAGTGACGATGAGAACGACAAGCACACATGACAGCAGAAACAGCCACGGGAGGAAGAAAATTGATGACAGAGGGAGGTGGCCTCTCCCGGATCTACAAGCACATCGTTCCGAGACACAAAACATTCGCAACTCTCTCAGACGGCTCCTCATCAATTTAATCGTCCATTAAACGACTGAATGGAGGACGATTTTTCACGATCTGACAGCAAAAAGTGCAAACTATTTATTTCTAATTTTCAGGGTATTCAGGATTTTTGTAAAATTTTAAAACTGATTTTCTCGGAAATCTGGTCTCCAGCCAAATCGAAATTTCCAAACATTCAAGGATCTTAGAGATTTAAAGATTTTTCTGATTTTTACCATTGAAATTGTGAGATCCAACTCACAAAAAAAGCGTGACAGTATTTCCATTCAAAAAAATATAACAGAAGTTCCTGATTTTTTTCACTTTTTACCTTATTTGTATTTTATGGACTTGTTTACACAGCCAAGTATTTTTTTTTGAGAGAAGCCCACAGACATGAACCCATTAGTTTGGTTTGGAGCTACATAACGTTGGTCATAAATTGAATGTGTATTCAGAGGTTTCGCGTTGAAAGCTTTTCGAACAGCGGACCTCTTTTTGAACACGCATTTATCAACTGATTAGCTTAGGAACGGCTCAAAGAAGCACGAAAAGAAGTATAGGTTTAAAAAATTCATAGAAAGCTGTTGTGTTACAAGTTGAAGGAGTCGGCGGCGAACCTAACCAAGGTAATTATTTTCCTTGTTGTGCTTCTAGAAAATTGTTTTTTTGATTTATTGTTCGATTTGCCCTCTAAGAGCATGGGAAGAATGAAGTTAAAAAATAGAACTCGTTCTTTTGCTGATATTACATTAAAATTTTTCAAAAACTGATACGAAAAAAATCAGAACTCATAACTAAAGTAGGCATCCCAAAACAGGAAATAATAACCGGAAAGCAGGTTCGGAACAAGAAAAAATCTTCTTCTTTCCTCAGTCTATTCATTATTTCTGAAGTTCATGAAACCTTCCAACGCATGAGCAAACCTCAAAACTGGCCTCTCTTCAAACGAAATTAAGCGCCCCATTTCAAAAGAAATCTACTCCACAGCTCCAACTTGACGTCGTGCACACGAGAATGTTTCTTCTTCAGGCCGAGTAATTTCCGTCAAGGTTAGAAGGAGAACCTTTTTGAGTGGGGGCACGCCGCAGGAGCAGTTCCGAGCATTTGCCAATTTATTTGCTTGGATAAGCATTTTCACAAGGAAAAGGTCCTGTCGCGGCTATTTTAGGACTGGCTCGACGTGTGTAGGCGTCAAGCCTTTCAAGGTCTGCGACTGAAAAGTTAAAAAACCTGAAGGTCGGAAAAAAAAAACTTAAAATTATTATCTACAACGTCTACTATGGTATTTAATTTGATAACCACTTTGCTTTATGTTTACGTCATTACAGTAGACGCTGTGTACAGATTATAGCTTTGACTTTGAAACAAATGAGATTTTCTACTGTAACTTGATCGTTTTATCTCCCTTTAAATTTCATGTTTCACTTACTCAATCTGAAAGAAGTGGATTAAAAACTTAGTTTATGGTAAAATGAAAAACAAGTTTCTAGAAGTAGTTTTCACCAGATTTCCGGTCGCAGTAGCGGACAAAATCCAGAGCTGAAGTTCCTTAAGGTACGGTTCGCATTTTGCACAGCCTTCTCATTTATGCCTAAACTCAAAACGGCACATTCCTTCTCAAAACAGCTAATTAGTCAAAGCTGCAAGAAAAGGCGAAAAAAAGAGGAAGAAGCAATAATTCATTCTCCGACAGTGCCGCCGTTTGGAGGAAACGTCTCGGAACGGCAAGCAGATGAATGGAAGGCAAAGATAGAAAAAGCTAAAAGCTTCCCAGTGAAGACGTTAAGCAAAAAAAAAAAGAAAAAAGTAGAGCATTCCTAGCATTAGCTCATTCATCATCTCGGCGCCAAAGTGCTGTCAAATGGAAAAGAAAAGCCTAAAAGCGAAACAGACTGCCCAAAAAAAAATGCTAGTTACTTGGTTCGGCGGAAACGATTGTTGCTATTTTTGCGGCAGCGAGATTGGTAAGTGTCGTAAAATAACCACTTGCCACACGCTCCAATCGCTAATTTGCCCTGAAAACTCGGACGATGCACCCTTACCCGGAGCTGAGGCACGAGGGCAACTCAGAGAACAGCACGGCTCGGAATAGTGTCTGAAAAAGTATAATTCTATCAACGAAGTCAGACCAGGTTCAAGAATGCTGTACAGTCGGAAAAATTAATTTTTTCCTTTTCTTTTTCAGTGAGCTTTTACAGTACTCAAAAACAAAATATTTTTGATTTTTTCAGATAAAACGATGCTTAAATGAATTCTCAAAAAAGGAACTAATTTACAATCAACTGTTTTTTCAGATGAAAATTTTGATTCATCTGCTCTCCTAGAAACTGAATCTAGTTTGACCAGTTCCCGCCCTACAGTACTCAAAAATCTTCAACGTTGTCATTTTTGGTTCAGACAACCACTCGTAAATTACAGAGAACTGGTTTACAACTAATTGTACCATACAAATAGATTGAAGGTTTGGAAAAAAGTTGGAAAAAAGTTGTTTGGGCTGTGCCGCGCATTGCGGGGAAATAATCCTCAGGTTGTAAAATTGCGAGCCTTCTTATTCGTCGAAAATAGAACGAAATTGCGATTCGCCAAATTTTCAAAAACCACAAATGACAGCAAAAAAACAAACGAAAAAACAACGCAAAGTAAATTTCGACGAGAAAGGCTCGCCCAACAATTAAGATTGAAAGATTTGAAAGCAAAAAAATGGGAATCACATCTTCAGGGAAGAAAAACCCTTTTCATTTCGAAGAAATGCACGCCTGAAGCCATTTTAGAAGGTGATTGGATGAGAATATAGAAAATTAGTTTGAGAGTTTATTTTGAGAATGAGATTAGAAAAAATTTCCGCTTTTAAAATTTGGGAGTTTTTTGGTTTTGGGCCTATCTAGCTTTACAT